AAAAAGAAAATATATTTTACCCACAGTAAAGAAAACAATATCCATAACATTGTCCTTGTATTGAAAGTAAAGAATGATCATCGCAGTAAATTTTCCAACTTAAGCAATTGGAAAGAAGAAGCCTGGAAGAAATCAGGGCTTCAACGGGATTCCAACCCGTGACCTCCGCAATACCAGTACGCTGCTCTACCAACTGAGCTATGAAGCCACACATTGGGAGCGAGGTCAATCAATTGCGTTCATATATTCCCGTGAGGAGTGAAATGATGTGAGGTATATATGACATAATTCATATTTGAACTGCGGTTGTAGATGAAAGTGAATATATCAATAGTGTAGAAAGTTGGAAGATAAACATGCAACACATCTAAACAACCTATATGTTTAAGACCACCAAGAAAAGGTTATTTCATTGACATATTATGGAAATTCATTACTACTCTTCAATATCCACTACTCTTCTCTTCAGTTCAAAACTGGCAACAGTATCCTTTAAAAATAGAAAAACCGTAGCCAGGAGAAAACATATTAAAAATTTATAAAAATTGTTCACTGACTATATATACTATCGACTTAAAAAAATTCTCAAGTGATTCACAAGGGTTCTTTCCGCATTTGCAAGACACTAGAACCATGGCACACTGCTTCGATAAATCTTGCAAATACATGTAACAATTCAAGGCCACTCCCTAATCAATAGTCTATTCTTTTCAAAAAGAACAATTAGTTTATTGAACAATTAGTTTATTTCCATTAATTTTTATTGTATTCTTTTTATAGTCCACCTATTTTTTATATACATTTTTAATTGTCAGTTTTTCCATTTTTATCCATTGAAGGTTGTAGTCTGAAAGCTGAAAGCTAGGAAGTTTTAACTCTGTGTAGTCAGTGAACATTTTTTACAAATTTTTTCCAATATCCCTGTTTGATGTCATTAACCCCAGTCTCCATTGCCCTCAGTCGTGTGCTAAATAATTCTGACTTCGTGGTTTTAAACAAAGACAAAGATTGTTGGGGGGAGCTTATGGGCTCTGAAAGTATTCACCCCTGTCAAGGGTATGCTTTTGAAACAGTCCGCAGTATAGGAATCAGGATTTTGGTAAACAATTGGGGATATAGATATAAAAATAATTGGGAGTTTCTGATTTTTTATTAACTTGATTAAATAACCAAATTTATAGTATGGAATAAATGTAGGGAAAGTATCTCTAATTCCAACCAACAATCAGATGTCCAAATATCAGCTGAATATCATATCCTCTGCTATAACCCAAAAAGTTCATTTTCCCAGCAACACACCCCATCAGCAAATTGTTAGAGTACCTTCCCTTCAATTCCTCCCCTCTAATATCAAACACACTTCACTAATCTCTGATTACTTCTACTTTTAGCCTTCATCAATGGCAATATGTTGTGGGTTTTGACTTTCTAAAATCATGTTAATGAAGTGCCCATTGTACCGGTTCAATTTCAGAGTTTCCTTGGATATGCTTTCTGTCCAGGCCAGCAGAAGTCCAATGTGGTCTGACAAGATTACCAAAGCATTTTGGCGTGGGCGTGACAGTCGAGAAGAACGGCTCAAGCTTGTTATGATGGCAAAAAAAAATCCAGACCTATTTGATGCTGCACTTACAAACTTCTTTTTCTTCAAGCATGATGATATCAAATATGGTCCCAAAGTCAAGCATGTGTCATTCTTTGATTTCTTCAAGGTGAGCTGTAATAATTTTTCTTAACAACATGTATGTTTTTGTTTGCCACCCTTAAACAGTGGCATTGTGGTGAACTTCTCCACTACGTGAAAATCACAAGCCCAACAGGGATTTACACATAATGACTCCTATAGGAGCCATCAATTTCATAACAGTCACTGACCAATAAAGAACAAATGCAATATATGTACACGAATGAAAGAATGCTCACACTCCTTAATCCCTGCCTTCTTATACGCTACAGAGATTAAGTTCGGAAAATAGCGCAGTCATTCTTTGTTTGTTTGTTGTTTGTTTCAAAAACAGACATAGTGATGTACTTTTCTTTCTTCCCTAAGTCTCTCACGCATTATAGTTCACTAATTTTTCTCCAATCCTTTTTGGTTTAAATTGATCACAAGACGCGATAGTGTTCATCCACAGAGAGACACTATCTGCCCATAGTGCCCATTTGAGGAGAATACCCAGATGGATAGTACTCGTCTGTGAACATTTTTCTGCAAACCAGCAGGCTTATAGAAAATAAACAATTAAAATTGTATTAAGTGGGTTTTTGTCTATTTCTTTTTCAAATTTTATGTTTGGCTTTCATGGCTTTCACAAACTCTATGGCTTTACCAATATCACACATTTGATTTCTACACTACTAATATACTGAAGGAAAGTAAAATATACGGTTGTACTAACGCACTAAAGGAAAGTAAATATACATCATACTAACAAACTGAAGGAAAGTAAAATATGCTGTGGTGCTAATGTTCTGAAGGAAAGTAAAATATCTGGTTATACATATTATTACAATATTATTACTATTGTATACGCATTGCATATCTAGAGTGTTGTGCGCATGACAGACGCCTCCTTCGACGCCGACGCCTCCTTTGTGAAAAATCCACTGTTCCTCTCAATTCCTTGTTAGATATTCCTCGCTCCATGGAGTCAGCCAATTTTCAGGCGGTGAACATTGAAAATGCCTTGTCCCAGGAACACTCTGAATTTGCTCACCAACTATCAACACCAACCCTCAGCGAAGAAGAATAAGTTAATTTTACTTCAGACAAACAGCAACAATGTACACATTGCGGTAACCAGCCCGACCACCAGCCACGAACCCCCAGATGCCCTGCTTTTTGTAAGACATGTTCCCACTGTGGAACCCTACACCATTTTGGATGTGTGTGTATGAAAAGAACCATAAATCCAGGTCACCCAAATGGCAAACAGGCAGGGCTACCCAAGGCTCGATATGCTTGTTACTCTTCGGATGAGGATAAAAGTCATGAGGCATTTCAACTCAACCTTAGCCAAGAAAAGTCAGATATCACAGTTACCATCAAAGGCACCCCAGTCAACGTTTGCATTGATTCTGGTGCCACAGCAAACAACATTGACTAACAACATATGAGGCAATCAGTGCTGCAAAAACAGTACCCTTAAAACCCACAAATGTGAAACTTCACCCTTATGGAGAAGATAACCCTGCACCAATTCCCCTTGCCAGATCATTTTTCGGACTGATCAACACTCCATCCACGCAGACAGATCTGACGAGGTTCCTGGTGCTCAAAGCACAGAACCTCAACCCGGCTGGAAATGTTGCATATTGCTGCTTCTACCACTACTGAACATCCACCTGTACATGGTGAACACCAGTCCCTTTTACAGAAGTTCCCAGCAGTGTTTAGTGGCAAGATCAGGAAACTAAAAGATTACCAGCTCAAGCTGAATATTGATCCAACTGTACCACCAGTTGTACATAATTCCCGACCTACACCCTTACACTACCGTGCCAAGGTGGAAGCCAAGCTGAAACAGCTTGAAGATCAAGATATCATTGAACAGGTCACAGGTCCAACACCCTGGGTGTCACCTCTCGTCATTGTCGATAAGCCGAATGGTGACGTAAGACTGTGTGTTAACATGTGTAAGCCCAACAAGGCTCTTTGCCGTACACACCACCCATACCCAACATCTGAAGAAATTCTACAAGACCTAAAAGGCGCCAAGTTCTTTTCCAAAATTGATCTCAAAGAATGTTATCACCAAATTGGACTGGCTGAATCATCTCGCCACCTGACAACATTCAAAACACACGTTGGCCTCTGCCATTACAAACATCTGCCATATGGAGCATCAGTAGGCTCTGAGATATGCCAACATGTAATTGGGCAGGTCCTCGAGGAATGCCAAAATGTGAGGAACATTGCTGACAACATTCTGGCACATGGTACCACTAAAGAGGAGCATGACAGATCCTGAGAAAGTGTTTTGCTATGTCTCCAAGAGAAAAACCTCACAGTCAACCCAGCCAAGTGTCTATTTGGAGTCACTGAACTGAACTATTATGGATTCCACGTCTCAGCACAAGGTGTATGCCCTGACAAGGATCATATACATGCAATCAAGCAAATGCAACCGCCCAGCACAGCCACAGAGGCAAGAAGCTTTCTTGGATTAGTAAATACTGTGGCCTGTCTCGTTCCAAACCTTGCTGCTATGACAGAGCCTATATGAAGAATCACACAAAAGAACCATCCATGGTTGTGGGGCCCGGAGCAATCTGTAACCCTTAACAAACTGTGTGACCTCATATCTAGCAACACTGTTCTGGCCCACTTTGACCCCTCCCTCCCTCCCCACCCAGGTACGTCATGATGCCTGCAAGATTGGAATCAGTGGTGCCTTGACTCAGATGCACCCTGATGGTTCTATACAACTTGTTACATATGAAAGCCCTAGTCTGTCACCCGTTGAACAGCGTTATAGCCAAACTGAAAGAGAAGCCTTATCCAGAGTGTGGGCATGTGAGAGGTTTTATTTTTACATCCATGGCAGTCGGTTTGACTTAGTGGGAGATCACAAGCCTCTGGAAGTTCTCCTCAATGGCTGTGGGAACCCTTCACCAAGAATCGAACGTTGGCAGTTACAGCTTCAAAACTATGGCCCACACATTGTTTACCCACCTGGCATCCAAAATGCTGTTGACTTTTTGTTGCGCAAAACTGTCGCAACCAACACACCTAGAGATCCTGTTGAGGAATATGTTAACTCCATTATAGTTGACTCCCTTCCTTCAGTCATCACTCTTCAAGAGCTTCTTCTCGCTTCCAAATGTGACCCTACTTTGAAAACCATCAAGGAGGCCCTGGACACTGGGAACTCTGGTCAGCTGCACCAAAGCCCTTTGCAGATCTAAAGGACGAACTTAGCCAGAAACGTGGGATTATTCTGCGGAACAGTCGTATTATTATCCCTGATACACTGCGTCCTTGCATTCCTCAGTTAGCACACGAGGGGTGCCAAGGCATCACCAAAGTTAAACAGCATCTCAGACAAGAGTCTGGAGGCCTGGCATAGATATTCAAGCTGAGAGATATATATGCAAATGCCTCGGTTGCCAAATTGTGGGCCCCACTCCTCCCCCAGAGCCCCTCCAAATGACAGATCCACCTAAACAAGTATAGCACACAGACCATGTTGACTACTGTGGCCCATTCCCATCCGGAGAGTATCTCTTTGTCGCTGTTGATGAAACATCAAAGTATCCCGAGGTCCACATCACACGCTCAAGTTCGGCAGCCACAGCCATTACACACCTTACCCAAATGTTCGCAACACATGGTATTCCTGAAGTCATTACATCGGACAATGTCTCATTCAGGTTAGAGAAGTTTATCGCATGTGTAAACAATTAGGCATTAAGCATCACAAAATTACGCCCCTGTGGCCAGCTGCCAATGCCTAAGTGGAACGGTTCAACAAAACTCTGGAGAAGACCATTTGTATTGCTTTGGTTGAAGGGAAGAACTGGCGTTCTGAACTGTTTGTGTTCTTAATGAATTACCAAAATACTCCCCATTTCTCCACTGGGGTATCGCCCGCATCCCTGATGATGAATCGTCATATCAGAACCAAGATTCCCTGTTTGGATCTCTCTCGCCCACCTAAGCTCCTCCAAATCGCATGTTCCAATGACAATCTGAGAAAGGCAAAGGCAAAGTCATAGATGGATAAACGACACAAAGCAACACCTTCAGACATTCGTCAGGGATATCAAGTGCTGCTGCTCCAGAAACGTCAAAACAAGTTAACCACAAGATATGACCCTAGACCCTTTACTGTTGTCAAAAAAAGAAGTCAACGTTGAACTTGCGAGAGGTGGGACACGGTTGTTTAGAAACATATCCGTGGTCAAGAAAGTGATTCCCACAGCAAGGAACACTGAACCCATCAGAAGACCTACCCAAGGAGAGAGCGTCCCCAGTCATGGGAAGATTACCTTACAGAACACTGAACATCTTGGCAGGTCTTTGCGAGAATGCCGTGTTCCCAGTCATCTTAATGACTTTCATTTGAGCTAGAACATTTCTCAGAAACTGTGCTTACTCAAATTCTATTGTGAGGCTAGTTGAGTTTAGTCAAGCTACCTTTGTTTTCTGTT